ATATATTGGACTTTTATTTTATTTTATCTTATATATTTTATTGGACACAACCCGAGCTGTAATTGAATTTACACGCTTGCAATATTATCATAGACAGTAGAGGAGGCTATTCCTGTTCTTTTGCAAATTTCTCAAGTAGGTTTTATAAGGATCATAGTTTTGTACAATTCATAATTTTATTAATTTTATTATTAATAATCTATTAGCAACAATATATTCAAGAGATTGAGCAAGTAAAATATATTCTTAAACGTGGATATGAAACTCATCTATCAATTAATGACAATGGCAGGACTTTTCATAATACTTGTATAAATCATTGCTTATTATATGCATTTGGTGAATGCAATGAAACACATACTACTAATTGTATAGATTGCAATAGATTATTTCAACTATTAATAATCTTTATATTGAAATTTCCAGTGAAAAACATAATATATTAAAAGAGAAGGAAGAATATTTTTATTTTTATTTAGCCCACCAAGCCAGGAAAACCTATTTAAATGCACAATTAAAGGCTAATTTATTAGAATTAGATGAGCAAGGTGCAATTATAATTGCTGATTACAAAATGAGAATTTTACCAAAATCAGCAAGAGAAACAAAAGAACAATTTTTTGGTAAACATGGATGGACCTTACATACCATTTTAATTTATACAAAGCAACTGATGATAATCTATTTAAATTAACAGCCTATGATCATTGGTCTACAGATACAAAACAAGATGCCTGGTTTACTGCATCTTGCTTTGATGTAGTTTTTGAAACTATAGATCCTAAACCCAAATGGATTAATCATTTCTGACAATGGGCCACATTATCATTGTTCTGAGCTAATGACAATTGTATTAAAATGGAAAGAAAGGTATGATATTGATATTAAAGGATGGATATTTTTAGAACCAGGTGAAGCAAAAACAACAATAGACTCTCATCATGCCCAGGTAAAATAATTTTAATAAATGATATGATCATACAATGCTGTTTTTTTCACAATACAAGAATTTAATATTAAAATGCTAATTATTGTTTTTTTATTTAATGCCAATTATACACATATTATTATTATATATTTATACACACATATATTAAAAAAAGATTGCTATTCTATATTTATAAATGATGCCACTCAATTGCTTCTTTGTTTTTTTGGTTCTTTCTCTTCAATTTCATCTTTTTCAAATGATGAATATTTTCATTTATCAACTGTCTATTGGACATTTTTTGGATGGAATGATATTTTTAAATATTGATTAGTGTTAGTAAATAAAAAATGAATTTATGAAAAATTAATTAATTACCATTATAATTAGATGTGTTTATTTCAGTCATTGAAATTTCATTAGGTTCCTTTTCTATTTCATAAGCCTTACAACCTTGAATAATGATATTACCTTTATATAATTTAACTCTAACTTCACCATTAACACTCTGTTGTATGTGTTCAAGTGAATGTAAAAGGAATTTGCACTTGGATGAAAAATTAAGACCATCATAAAGAATTTTTCCATAAGGAATATCAATATTTGATTCCTTGAGATGACGGACTTGTCTATCTACTGTGATCTTTTCAAGATCTGAATATGCAGCATGCAATACTGTGGCTCCAGGTGACTCGTAACATCTGTGAGATTTCAATCCTAGCAATCTCTAGGGTTTGTATTCATGAATATCATAAGGGGTCACACAGGGTCACACACTATTAAAATCAAGTGATCAACTCATGTTTTTAAGGGGTTTTTTGCTGTTTTAATAATGTGTAACCCCTTAATGATATTCATGATATTCATGAATAAAAACCCTAGCAATCTCGATTCAACAACCATATCAACCCGACCAATACCATGACTACCAGCCAATTTGTTTAAATAGATAAATAAATCAACAGAATTGTTTTTTCTATTTTATTATTATAATTAATAAGCTCAACCAGGGTTGGAAAATTGACTGGTCCATTGAGAACAGATGGATTTTGGACTGGTCATTAATAGAATACTAAATATGGTTAAAGTGTTACACTAATGGACCCAATGGACCACCAATAGACCATCAATGGACAGCACATTTGCCAACCCTGAGCTTAACAGGCTTTCCTTTTTTGAAATGAATAATCTATAAATTTATTTAAATATATGATTATATGAATCATTTGTTATTTTATATTTGTGCATATATATGATATGAATATATATATATTTGAATACACAAAAGGAAATAACTTACAATTTGTTCAGATTCATCAGGAGAATCTTCCGGATCAATGGTCATACTCCACATGTCTTTTGGTGGAGCATCTTCAGGGTTTTTAAGTATTTCACCTGAAAATAATATGTTATATGCATATGCAAGTATAAAATTAATAATTTTAATAAATATTTTTCCAAAATTGATAAATATGAAATACTTACTTTCATGAGAGATATTATATAAATTACCATTTTTTGAACACAATTCTTTAACAATAGGTATGCCTTTTTCGGCTGCATAACAAGAAGTGGATCACAACAGGATCGGGAAAACTCTATTAAATGTGACCGCCAACACTATGATTCGAAAGTACTTTTTTTAAAAAAAATGTGACGGCCTCACTATAGATTCGATTAATGGAAAATGGAAAAGGTCACCACCTTTATATAATTCAAAGGAAAAAATGTCCTCGGTTACACTGAATTCGCAAACATAGAGAAATGAAAAATGTCATCAGTTACACTATAATTCGCATTATTAATAAAAAAAATTTATCTTGGTCATATATACCAAAAAAAAAAAAAATGAAAATTCAAACTAAAAATAGTAAAAGAATTCCTTATGATTCATGCCAATGACATTTTACTACATACTCTAACTTTCAAGAATTTTTCAATGCTAAAAAATTTATTTGCAAATGTGGTCAAATTATTTCACTTGAAATCAATTATCAAGTTGCAAACTTTAAAAGACATTCTCAGAGTAATAATTGTAATTTTTTAATAAATAATCAACCTAGTGTCAAAGCATTCTTTACAAAAAGTAACCATGAAGAACATATCATTGATGATAATAATATAGATCAAAATCTACATATATGCAAGGGTCTTTGTGACTTGGAGTATATTGATTATGTTATAAATAGTCCAGCTAATTTTGGAGGTGGTAAAAAACCTGAAATAATTGCAAAGCAACTTTTTCCTCAAAAATTTCCTGCAAACAAATCTTTTTCTCAAAGAAAACTTTCTAAATCTGAACTACAAGAGTTTAAAAGAGCATTAGAAGCTGAAGCTACTTGGTGTTGGGATAAAGAAGTTCTAGCAGTTTATCATATTCATTGTGAAAAAAAAAACGATCAATGAAAGTTTTATTTGTGATGAGTGTGATAAATTAACAAAAAATAAACGCCTAAAAGAAGCAATAAACAAGGTTATTCTTTTAATATTAATATTATTCACTTAAGTTGCCATTCTTTAAATTTAAGAAGTTGACTGTTTAATATCAATTAATAAAGAGACGTGCAGTAAATAATACTATCAAGTATATCCCTCATCACTATTATAAAAACCATTTATCTGACCTTCAAGAAATACTCAAAAATCCAAACCTACGATCAGTTTGGGTTGCCGCAAATAGTGAAAATAATGATGCAGCCTTTTGGTCTAAGGTATCTCAACTTGGTTTAAGTGGAGCATTTGATAGGGAACATACATTTGTTGAACTTATAAATTTAATGGTAAAAATAAATGAAAAAAAATCACAAAATAAAAAATTAAATGGATTATGATACTCTCAACATTTAGTTCATTTTTTCAGTTTATTATCAGAAAGTTCCAGAGAATATGAAATTTTTAAAAAAGCATTTTCTGGTCTTTCAATACAAAGAATAAGGTAGATTTCTTATTTTCTTATTAAATTGAATAAATAAATTGATTGATTGATTAATTGACTGATTTATAATTAATCTTAATAGACAAATTCGCAAAACAGATTCTAGTGTAGTTACCAACCCTGATTTGATATTAGACAATTTTATGAAGTTTGCAGAACTTGTCTCAAGTATTAATTGGAATGGACCCATTATAGTAATGACAGATTCAACTAAACTATGAAAAAAACTTGTATATTCTGAGGATCTTAACTATATAACTGGATCAACCTTGCCACATGATGAAACAACAATTTCTTCAATTGATGATATACATCCAAAAATAAATTATATTTTACAAAATGATGCAGTTGCTACACAAGTTCGTGCTATTGCATTAAAGGTTAGTAATTTTAGATTTAAAATCAATTATTCAATAAATTAAAAAAATGCAATTGTTTTTGTATTTTAGGTTCCTATTGGTAAAATTCCACCAATGATAGTAGCAATGTTGCCAACAAAAGGTGATGAATCTGCTGATCAAATTTCAAATTTGTTACGTGAAGTAATTGAATTAGCAAATGTTGCAAATTTAAATATATTAAGTTTTGGATCAGATGGAGCTAGATCTGAATTCAATGCACAATCAATCATTATGAATGAAGCATCTGGTTTTCTTGAATATAAAGATGCTTTCTATAATATAAATTTCAAAGCTCCAATTTATGAAGGTAAACCATTTATTAGAGTCCAAGACCCCAAACATGCCAAAAAAACTGCAAGACTTTTATCACTCGGAATAAGCACAATGCATTATGATCAGCTTTTTGAATTGGCACATCGATCACAACATTTCATTTTAAAACGTGATGTTTTGAATGTAGACAAACAAGATGATAATGCAGCCTTACGCACCTTTCATTCAAATAATTTAATGCAAATTCCAGTTAATGGCAACTTAACTGAAGAATCTATTGGACTTTTTGTATATCTTTTTGTGTTAGGTAATTACTTTTATATATATATTGTCACTTAAAAGTTTTATGTACTTACATATATTAGTATATATTTATTTTATGTGAATTATGTGATGCTTATCTAAATAGAACTATTGATCACAAAACACGTATTGAAATGGTATTGCGTGCTTATTTTTTTCTAAATACATGGAAGAATTATGTTGAATGTTGTAGCATTCATTATTCAAAGAAATGGTATAGTTTACAGAAAAGCTTTATCTCAATCCAAAGTTATGATATTTTTATTAGCATGGCAGAGTCTTTAATTATGCTTATTATTGCACATCATGAATATTACTCTCTGTTTCCCTTGTTTCCATGGGAACATGGAACTGAGGGATTGGAACATATTTTTGGAATTTCTAGAAGAATACTTCCTGATTTTAATTTTAATGAGTTTTTTAAAATACAACAAAGGGTTTCATATCGTGATAAAATTGCTCGAGCAGGAATAATAGATACCAGTAAAGATCATAATTCAGCAGCAGGTAAATAATGATTTATTTTCTATTTTTATAAAAAAATATTATTCACTATTTATTTTATCAACTCCATTTTCTTAGGCTATGTTTTTGACATAGATGGCACTTCATTACCTCATGAAACAATTGAAATACTTCGCACTTGGCCTACCACTGATGATATCAAAGAATCTACTGTAATTGCATTTAATGAAGCCATGTCCTTAGCAAACTACCTTCATATAAAGCATAATGAATACACAATCCCACCAATTATTACATCCACAGAAAATATGAATAATGCTTTTTCAGAAGATAATGGAGATCAATATTGTGAAATAAATGGTAATTTATTATATTCCAATATTAATTATTTATTATATTCAAAATTTTAATCTTTTATAATATTTTATTATGTAGACTCTTCCAATGAATTAAATTTAGAATCTATATCACTAACTGGTAATGCAGCTTTGGAAGTAGCTCGCTTATTATCAAGTGCAAATAACAATCAATTGCATGAAGATGAAGTTTTGGAAGATGAAGTTTTGGAAGATGAATATGAAGATGAATTACAACCATTACCATCTGGAGACTTCCCTGATATTCAATACATTCAGAATTCTCAAGTTGTTCCTGTTGCATTTCAACCATTTCAATTATTCATTGCAAATAATGTTTTAGATATTACAGCTATTTTAGAAATTCGTAAAAGTCATGATGCATTTTCTCATAATCTTCAATCTAATTTTATTAATTCACAACAAATAATAAATACAAATAATAGTGCTACAAATGGGAACACTTTTAATAGAATTATTACAGAAATAGCAGCAAACAATGTTAATGAAGTTCAAAGAAGACAACGTCGGGATTGATGGGAAGGTAGAAGGCGTTTAGAAACAATATCTAATAATTTACCAGGTAATAGAAATCAGTGTTTTTTAACTTATGAGTAATATAATAAAATTGATTAAAATTTTTGTTTTGTTAGTAACAAACATTGGGTTTGCAAATATTTCTGATATTCATCCACTTTGCAAGAATGGATTTTTTTTTTATTTGTGTATTCCAATAAAATCTTGTGTTTGGGTAAAGTAATCACATTTTATGAGAAATGTGGGCAACGACATGCATGGGTAGAAAAGCCAGCAGGATTTTTAGATCATTTATCATATATTTCTATTAAAGTTTATCTTCCAGTAT